AGAGATTATGTTGCAAGCCTTCAACATAATAAACATCATCTATTGCGTTAGAAAGTGTCTTACCAACCTTACCTAAACCAGTGATGGTTCCCTTGTTGTTATCCCCAAAGGTGACACTTCCTCCATCAAAGGCCACTAGTGAAAGGAATTGATCTTTATCCCCGGACATGTGTCTTGAACAACCACTGTCCAAATACCAATAGGTGTCTCCCTTCACTCTAGCCTGCAAGAGCAAATCAAACATTAGTTTTAGGAACCCAAACATACTTGGGTCCCTTTTCAACAACATTAACATCTTGTTGATCCTTTCTTCTCCACACATATTTTACACCCTTGCTGTTCTTATTAGCACTAATTTTCTTAGCTGGACATTCATGTATCTTATGTCCATTTTTACCACAATGAAAACACACATGCATTTCTTTAGTCATGACATACTTGCCTCGTTGATATTCTTTGATCCAGGTGGTTTCTCTGGGAGACCAGTTAGTCCTGGTTCTCTGTCTAGTATAACCAAGACCAACTTTTCCTCTGTTTCCTCTTGATGAAGTCAGGTAATTTAAGGATTCTTGAGCATTCAATAATTTGTCCACATATCTATGACTATCATTAAGTTCTTTTTCTCTGGTTTCAAGTGTTTTAGTTAACAATTCGTTTTTCTCTTTAAGAAAATCAAAGTTACTTTTTAAAGCTTCGAATTGTAGATTAAGTTTTGAAACCATAGAGTCAATAGACATGTCAACAGTCACTGGTTGCTTGTCCTTTTTCAGTTGATTGATTTCCGCATGCAAATCACAAATATTACTTTCATACTTATCAATCGTATTACTGACATCTACACTGGTACCTGTAGGGGAAACAGTGAACTGTGCAGCTTTAAGTGAAGCAATTTCCTTGTGAGAGTTTTCCAGGTTGTAAGCCAATGTTTCAAAGGCCTTCAACAAGGAAGTTCTAGTACACGAATTTGCTTTACTTATAGCTACTGAAAAATCAAGAGTATCACTAGTGGTTGATAAGTCTCTAGGGAACCAGGAGGTCAGATCCTCTTCACCATCAATTGGTTCAAACGATCTTTCCTTTTCTAGTTCCACTTTACACTTGTCCAATTCAACCTCTAGTTCTGCTACTTGATTTTTTAGTTCATAACAGACTCCTTCTAGATGATCACAACTAGCAATAGCAATATTACATTCACCACGTTTTTCTTTTAATTCTCTTTTGCAAGTTATGTATGTTTCACTTAGTTTATAGCATTCATCTAGTAAGGAATCAATACAAGCAAGCATATTTTCTCTATCATATTCATGCATATCTTCTCTAATTTGCTCTAAGCTTACCTTGCGTTCATGTAGTACATCCTTCTTTGCCATAAAGCATTTGTTGAATGTACTGGTTCCCCCTCTGGTTCCTGGACCAGTGCTGTTTTCCTTGATGTTTGTAAAGGCAGTTAGGCAAACATCTGAGTTGGGTGATCCTTCTTCTTCATCTGACCCTGAGTCAGAGTCTCCCCACATGGAAGCTATCATGGCATTCTTGTATGCTTGTTTATCTCCGGATTTAGACTGTTTGTCATTCCACTTAGGACAATCTCGAATAAGATGTCCTTTTTCTCCACACTTGAAACATCCTGTAGAAGAAGAATTAGAGTTAGATTTTTTATAGTTTTTAAAATGCTTACCTTTGAAATTCTTTCTTTGATCTCAAAGAGATCTCTCAAATCTTTTTGCAATCATGCTAATTTCATCTTCATCATCTTCTACTGTTCCCTTAAGCGCCATGCCTCTTGCTGGTTCCTTCTCAGACTTAGAGTCAATCAGCATCTCATGAGTCATAAGGGAACCAATCAGCTGTTCCAGAGACAAGGTAGACAGATCCTTTGCTTCATATACTGCTGTTACCTTGGCTGTCCATGCATCTGTTAAACTACGCAATAATTTTCTCACAAGATCCTCGTCAGATAAATTTTTACCAAGAGATCTAAGATCATTTACAATAGTCATAAACCTACGAAAGCAGTCATTGATTTTTTCATTTTTATTCATGGCAAACAATTCATATTTAGACATGATTAAATCAATTTTAGACCGTTTTACCTCGCTGGTTCCCTCAAACGCAAGTTCAAGGGTGTCCCATATCTCCTTAGCACTACTACAGCCAGAGATACGATTTGTTTCGGTCTCACCTATTGCTTGTTGTAGTATTGACATTGCCTTAGCATTCTTTTCCAGCAACTTGTAATCAGCAATGACCAATTCGCTATCCTTCTTGGGAACCTGGTTCCCCTCAACATCTGTCTTGAGAATGATATTAGGACCATTTTTAACTACGAGCCAGCATTCATAATCAATACCCATGATAACATTCTGGATCCTGTTCTTCCACCAAGCATAATTATTTCCATTAACCTTGGGTGACTTGTTGTCATAACCGATTGCACTTAATTCTTGAGTACTCATTCTTAACTCCTCTAGATGTTACTCTTTCGAGAAGCTTAGGCTCTGATACCAATTGAAGGTTCAATGGGCACTCAAGAGGGGGGGGTGAATTGAGTGTTAAGTAATCGTTGGCTAATTTTGCTTCTTTTCGGATTATGTGTGAGGAACCAGTTGTGCTGGTTCCCGTACGCAGCGGAATATAAATAAGCAATAAAGAAGACAACAAATTTAACGAAATAAAACAAAGCAATAAAGAACACAACAAATTTAACGAGGTTCAGCCAACTCAGGCCTACGTCCTCCTATCCTAAGTTCTTTATTAATCTACTCCGAAAAACAAAGACAAAGAACACTCTGCTGTTCCCTACTCCGGGAACCAGCAAACCCCACACTCTACTCCGAGTGTGCTCTCGACTTACACTCGTAAGCCCAATGTGTTTGAACTCACAAACACTCACCCAGCCTTTAACCCCTTTGTTAAAGACTCAATACAAGAATCAAGAACTCCCCTTTGATCTCACTTCTACGAAGCTAATTAAGAGAAAAAGTTTAAGTACTAGAATGCTCTTGTATATGACTTGATGAATGGGATTAGTGCTTAAGTATATGCTCTCAAATAATTGCTCCTTTAATTTCTAGAGAGGCACACGAAATATGTGAAATAAGATGAGTTTATATAAGCTTAGATTCCTAAAACCTAGTTTCCTTAAATCACACAATCTTAGAGAATAAGATATAATGTAATTTTAGGAAAGTTTTTATCTTATTTGATTTAATCACAAAGATAGAATCAATTAAGATAAATACTCCTAGTTTTTAGGTAACCAAGAATATTTCATCTTATTTCCAGCTGCACAAAATATTTTCAAAATAATCTTTTCGAAAAAATCTTTTTGTAAAATCTTTTTCCAAAACGGCAGCTCGAATACAGTGAACCTGGTTCCCCGACCTGGTTCCCTGAATTGAAACATGTTATGAAACCTGTTCCAACTTTGTACCAGATTTCATATCATACTTCAATATACTTTTAAGCACTTATATAACCCAAACATGCAAGCATACTACGGAGCATATTACATGAAAACCTAGATAACATATTAAAGCATAAATCGTCTTTTCTTCATGTAATCTTCAAGACTTGAATCTTCCTTGAATACTTCTATTATGAGCAAACAATCTTTCTTCGAAATATCTTCGAAAGACTTCTATGCTCCAAGTCTTGGAATCAACTCAACTACTGCACATGTAACATGGTTAATGCACAACATAAAGTAAGTGACTGCTGTACCACGTAGCAACCATGGAAACAGTACATACTGGTTCCCTACCAGTACATAACACTTTTATCATATAACTGTTCCCTGTATAAAGACAAGTTAGTTCAATAAGAAAACTCATGTAAGTAATAACTTGTCTGGGGAAACAGTGTTCTATGTTAGCTGGTTTCCCCAACTGTATCGAACACTTTCAAGGACCTGTTTCCCTTAGCTGTTTGTCATCATTCAAAACTATCAATCACAACCTAAGGGACTCAACAGCAATTAAGGAAAGAGTACACTTCTATTGGGATGAGCTATGATACTGCCTTCGATCGACACCATGCCAAAGGACTCATTACTCCCATTGGACCTATTCAAGATCCCGTACCTGGGAAGAGACTGCCTAGTTAGAACCCAGATGCACATTGGAAGTACCATCAAGGTAGGGGTCAAACTACTGAGAGCTGTTGAAAGTTAAAAGAGGTCATCCAATACTTGATCAATAATAACAAGCTTCCCATACCTCCAGCTAGCAAGAAGACCGAGTGATAATAAGGCATAAGACAAGAGGCGAGCTTCAACAACAAGATTTCATGACCTTTTTTTCTAACTCTGTTATTCAGCCTTTCCCACAATAAGTATAGCACAAGCACCTTTTATTTTCCTTAAATCTTATTTTGTAGGTTTTTTCGTTTTTACCTTTTAATAAAAATGAGCACTTGTTTTCTTGCACATGATTATTTCATTACATTGCAAAAAACAAAAAAAAATTAATAAAAAAACCATGTCGAACAATGCACCCTTTGTAGTTTATCATATCATCTTCACCCTTTCAAATATACAATATATATTTTTTTTTTTGATAAACCACTTTGAGCCTCACCTAACGATAGACCTTTATTTTTTCAACCCACATCTACCTAACCTTGGGATGGGATAGTATGCAACTTATGCAATTTTCAAAAAAATAAAAGCTTGGGTGATTTTATAAAAATTTCAAAAGAATAAAATAGCAATAAAAGTGTGCACAAGGGCAAGTGCTCCAATGTAATTGACATAAACATGACATTGACATAAACATGTCTTTGATAAGAGCACGTCTCGAATTGCGTCTCTTATCGAGTGCTCGGTACCGTGCCTGACAAACATGAATGCTAAGTGAGTGATAGACCGCATGATCGGTATTGTCCACACTTATCAAAAAAGGTTCAAAATAGAAAAAAATGCAAAATAAAAAAAGAGAGCAAAAAAAAAAAAAAAGAAAGAGCTTAAAATTAAGAAACCTCAAGCATAATAATACAAAGATTCAAAAGCAAGGTTGCACACCTAGGGGGCTTATCTAGGGTCTTGAGCCTTTATCCCTTTCTTCTTCAACCTTCACTAGTAGGAAAATACAATAAGGCACCCCCATAAAGGCACTGGTTCAGGCAAAACCGGTGCCCTAAACCGGCCCAAATTTAGGCGCCATTTTACACAAATATTAAAGGCACCGGTTCAGACCAAACCGGTGCCAAAAACTAAAAGGGCACCGGTTTGAACCGGTGCCAATTGAACCGCTCCTTAATTAAAAAAAACCGGTTTAACATTATTATAATAAAAAAAAACCCTCCCATATATAAACCCCCCCAAACCCTAAAACTCAATTCGCCGCTTCTCCCTCCTCTTCTCTCATTCTCTTTCTCTCTCCTCTTCTCCTCTCCTCCTCTTTTGCTCATCATTCACCAGTTTGTAAATACACATTGAATGTTGGGATTACGCATCCGTTAGTTTGTAAAGGATTCAATGCAGACTTTGATGGGGATTAAATGGTTGTTCATGCTCCTTCCCTTTCTCATCTCCTCCTCCTTCCCTTTCGCTACCACGTCTCCTTCTCCTTCTCCTTCAAGCCCACCACGAAGACCACCACGGAGACCACCACGAACACCACCACGAAGACCACCACGAGCACATGCAACATCACGAACCGGTTTGGTTTAGATTTATTTTTTTCGACTTTGATTCTAATACATTTTGTTTTCGATTTTGATTTTTTGTTTTTCGATTTCTGGGTTATTTTTTTCCGTTTTCAATTTTGATTTTTTTTTTCGATTTTTGTTTATTCGATTTTAATATATTTTGTTTTCGATTTTGATTTTTGATTTTTCGATTTCTGTAATATTTTTTTTCTTATGTTTGATTTTGAATTTTTTTTCGATTTTTGTTTTTGTTTATTCAATTTTAATATATTTTGTTTTCGATTTTGTTTTTTTGTGTTTCGATTTCTAGGTTTTTTAATTTTTATTTTTTATCTGGGTTTTTTCCGATTTCAAATTTTTTTCGATTTCAATTTATTTCCATTTCTGGGTTTTTTTTATTTCTGGGTATTTTTCGATTTAATTTTTTATCGATTTCAATTTCTTTTCTGGGTTTGAATCTTAATTTTTTTTTCTGGGTTTGAATCTTAATTTTTTTTCTGGGTTTGAATTTCAATTTTTTTTCTGGGTTTGAATCTTAATTTTCGTAATTTTAGTTATAGTGAGTTTTTATTAATGTCGGTGTTTTAATTGATGCAGGTGAAGAATCAAGGTGTTGATTTTGGAATTTTGATTTCAATGTTGTAATTTTTTTTTTCTTCGATGTGTAATTTTTTTTTTCTTCAATGTTATAATTTTTTTTTCCTGGATTTTGATGTTGTAATTTATTTTATTTTTTTGTATTGTAAAATAACAATGTAATCATCAATATATTTCGTATTAAAGCTTATTATATGTTTCTGGTTATATTTCTTATTTAATGATCTATTTTGATCAATATTCATTTCATTTAAGTGGATAAAATATTATGTGTGTATGTGGGTAAAGCAAACTAAAAAAAATTCATGAATTGGCACCGGTTAACCGGTGCCAATTGACTTTAATTCCCAAAAAAAAGAGAAATTATGGCACCGGTTAACCGGTGCCTATTTGACCCTAAGGCATCGGTTTTGAACCGGTGCTAAAAATTGGGTTTTTGGCACCCCCCACATTGGCACCGGTTCAAACCGGTGCCTTAGGCCGGGTTTGAACCGGTGCCAAATTCGTTTTTTCACGTAGTGCTTTATCCTAACCACGTTACAACCCTTAAAAGACCTCTTTGAGGTATACACATACTTTTGTGAGGTTCGGCTAGAGCTACGTTCAACCTGATTCCTAACGGATACGTGGGCAACCTCACATCGAGGTGCGGCCGTAATAAAAATGCATTTATATTTACATTCATAATTGATAATATCAAGGAATTTCCAGTGCTTATCCCTTTCCATTTAGAGCTAGACTTGGGGGCTTGATCCTTACATTTTTCGCTTACCTAGCCTAAGAGTCACCGTGATTTGACTCTTATTGAAATAATATTTTTTCCATACCATTAGCCTCTGCAGCCTAACTTAGTGTCACTTTCACACATATCACAGATACATGACCAAATGATACTTCCCTTAGGAAACTTTTATCACAAAATCTTGACATTACGTGGAAGCATACCTTGTCATCATTGCATCACAAAGTATAAGTGCTAAGCCTCCGTGCCTAAGTCACCGAAATATTTTCAAGATTGCCTAGGATGTTAAAATCTTCACGCCCTAAGATATGACGTTGATCCATACATTTGTTAAAGCTCATTCAACATGCACTTTTAAAAACTTCACTTCCTATCTTTTTGAGTCTTTCTTTTTTTGGGAGAAAGTCGATACCCTCCACAAAAATAAAGATTTTTTTTTTATTTTTCTGCGTTTTGAAGTCGAATGCGCACATAAGTCATGTACATATCGAGTCTCATGAGTCAATACTTTGCACACACACATTACAATCGAGTTGAGTCGACCTCAAGTCGGTAATTGTATTAATTCAAGTCTACACCTTGAGTCATGTCAAGCCATGTGTGTCAAAACGCTTTGAGTCGAGTCATGACAAGTCATATGTGTTAAAAACATATTATGTATTATGCAATGAGTTAAGAAATATTGAGCCTTAGGTCAACCCCTACAGAAAAGATGAGCAAAGTCCTATAGTCCAAAATATAAATGCAGGTACAAAAGATTTGAAGCAAAAGGACGCAATTGGATTAGCAAATCAACTAGAGTCGCCGTGATCGCAGTTAGATTGACAATCGGCCTGATTGATTGAGCACATCCAGATTTTAATCAAGCACCTCAGACTCGGTAAAATCCTTAAGGATAGGATTTTCGACAGAGTTTCAAAGCGTGGGAAGCTATTTTTTTTCCAAAGTATTAGCGAATAAGAACATTCCCGGATTTTCCGCGAATATAAATGCATGAAATTCTCTCAAGATAAGAGAAGTTTGAGAAGAAATTACATGAATTGGTAAATTAGAGATGAAGAGCGTTAATTTGCAAAAAGATTTGAGTAGATTTGGTTGAAAGGAAACAACCAAGTTGAAGAATCAGAGCGAAATTGAGCGCAAATATGAACAACAGCAGTAAGGGCAAAATAGAAAAGACCCGATTCAAGCGCCAGACAAGAAGGCTGTCACCTGGCGACAACATCAATCGACCGGCGAAAGAGAAGAATTACGGCGACAGTAATTTCCAGCGTGCGCTGGTGCGGCGATAGAATACGTGTCCATCATAAATGATTATGCGCACCTTATGCAGCAATTTCGCGTTCCTTGGTACGCCAATTAGCCCGCATAAGCTATTTGACATGATTAGGTAATTGGCTCGATTACAATAACAGTAGGTGATCGACCTAATAAAAGATCGTCTTACTTAGCTTAAAGCGCATAAACATTGGCTCATCACAAAGGCAATGACATAATGCTTCATAAGTAGTAAAAGAACCGACGTAATGGTTCACAAACAGCACAATGAGCTGACGTACTGGCATCGCGGAAATTTTAGCAAATATCACAGCAGCAAAGTGTGGTAGTGTTCAGGCGGTATCCCCTAGCTTGAGGAAGATCGTCACAAATCGATTACTCAAGAGACGTGTGCTCGACGATGCAAGATACACGTTTCTTAACTCTCTTATCTATTTTAACTAATGCTAGTTTACAGGTATTGGCATTACAAGAATGATTTAGGATCGCAGAACATTCTGAATCATTCTCCGTCCCTATCGTGACTTTGACTTTTGTTTTCGAAACATAAATTTCTCCAAACTTAGTCCAACTGGGGGCTTCTGTAGACTCCCAAATGTGTCTCCCCAATACCAAACTCAGTGATGAATACCTTTCACGTCATTTGATTATCGAACGAAGTGAAAGTGTGGAAACTCTAATGATGAAGATGTTTTTATTAAAATATTTCTCTTTCTGTTTTCAAAAATATTTCTTTTCTTACTTTATTTATAAAAAATAGCCAGTTCAATTTGGTTTGGTCCATAATAAGGGTCCAATAATAGTGTGGTTGGATTATGCTCGAAAAAGAGCTTTTCAATGATATATTATAAGCCCAATTCTGATGAATTATGAGGAATTGAAGTTATGGATTAAATTAAATTAGGCCTAATGATTTTAAAGGTGGCCCAATGATCTAGAGGAGGGCCTAGTAATTATTATTCATATAGCGATTAGGATTGATTTTAGTCTTCTAGGAATGTCTAGAAGGTTCTTTTTAAATCTAATGTGGTTGGGATTGATCATTATATTTTTTAAAAAGATTTTTTATTAAGAATAAAATATATTAAATCTGATTTCGAAACTGCTTGGACGCATAATTACCTGCAACCGGTTTTAAAGGTAATTACGCGTGTAAAAGCACGTTGACTTTTAAACCAGCGCGAGACGACATAGTTCTCTAATTCTAAATAAAACATCTACAATTAACACCCATAATTCTCTAATTCTCTCTCTCTCTAAAAGTTAGAAGCTTCCTCTCTCTCTCTTCTTTTTCTAAACCTTCCCTCTCTCAAAATTCCTCACTCATTAGTTCTAGATACACCTAGTCAAGTTTGAAGTTGCCTTCGCCCTAGATGTGAAAGGTTTGACATTTCTGAGGGCTTGGTTCCAAATCTCTATTTCAACTATTTAATTTAATTGTATTGTTTATTATTTTCCTTGAAGTTACTAACGCGTGTATTTTGTTATTAGAAACAGGTACGAGGCATCGAAGTAAGTAATTTAATTGTTTTATTGATCTTTTGACATAAAAATCATGCTTAGATTATTATTTTGATTTTTAATATCATATTAGGGTGTTTTATCGCTTCCTAGTGTCATGTTTAGGGTTAACTAATATTTCTAATATCAAGTATGATTATTATGATGCTTCCTATTTCTTTCCTAATATCATGTTAGTATCATGTTAGGTCTAAAGCTTTGATCTTGAACACTTAGTGATATGCTAGGGTTTGTTATTAATCTCGTTAGTATCATGCCTAAGATATGGCTAATAATATTAAGCTTTAACATGATTATTTTAATTATGATTGTTATTATGCTTTATTGTTAGGATGATTGTTATTATGTTTCTAGATATATAGTTATTGTTATTGCTTGATCACACCTTTTATGCATGTTTAATGGGAATTTGTACTTGCAATCACGCTTAATAAGATAATTAATAATCTTGTTTAGGTTAATATGATTATAATTCAAGTGATCTCCAATCATAGATTAGTTTGTGCATTAATATTCAACCAACATATATTAAACAGGTTTAGGGTTGATCTATTGATTGTATGTTAGTCAAAAAGCGCACATGAATATGAGAAGAATAAAGTAGAGGCCTATTTTAAGGGCAAGTTCAGTCCCTTTTAGGTTGTATTTGTACCTTCATCCCCAAACTTCCAGTCATGGTTCCAGAACAATTGGAGTGAAAGATCTCTTGGATCGTTAAGGGGTGTAACTGTGAACGGTTTACTAGTTCCTAAAACTTGTTGGCGACTCTTTTGCTTTAGCTTCCTTCCCTTTGGACGCCACCATGCTTTAGTGTATGATCACAGTGGGGCTCAAGTGTGGGATGACTTTAAATATTCCCTACAGAGCTAAACTGAACTGAACTGAGATGAAATGAATATTTTATGAGAGAGGGGAATTAGAAGCTGTAGACACCTAAAAATGTCTCCCCAAAACCAAACCCGATGCTGAACAACCTTTCACCGCCACTATTGGTGGGGTTGAGTATTTTATTTTTGGAGTGCTTAAATCCATATTTCCATTTCATAAACCAACCCAACTTTATTTTTTGCCTTTAAAACCAAAATGATTCATTTCGTGTCCTTTAAATTCATTCATTTTGTGTCCTTTTTATAAAAACGTTTGATCCACTTTATTTTGGTCCATAATCCGGGTCCAATGATTGAATAGTTGGATGGGGCTTGACCACAAAATATTTAACCGAGCCAAAATCGAACCTAAGCCCACCTTACCTATGACCCAATGATCATGTGGAGGGTCCAAATTATTTAATCCCATTCCTAAACCAATTAGGATTCATTGGAAGCTTCTATAAGTTTCTAAAATATTTAATTATCCTTTTTGAAAAGATAAGATTAAAGAGTTTGAAATTGAATAAAACTCTTTTTTTTTAAAGTCCTAATTCTATTTGAATTGAAAGACGTTCAAAGATAGACAGATTTTATTTTCGTACCTCATTTTTTTATCCAAATTTTATATGGTTAGATAGCCTTTGAAATTATCTTTCCAATGATATATTATAATATCAATTTCGAGCTATAACGAAAAATATATGAATTAAATAAAAAAACTCTATCCAAAACTGACACCGTTCTACTATTTCGGCCATATCTTTACTTCTACAAAATATTTT